CTCCAAAAACTGGACAATGACTGGACTGTTTCTGTCATGTCCGCGGCTTTCGGGTTTTGTCAAACTCACCTTCGGTATACTAAGGCCCACAGTATGCTGGGCGACCAGATTGCCTACACAGTGGGATATGGTGCACCAGGTACCTTGGAGTTAATGAACTACCACCTGCTCCATGGTAAATGTCACTGCAGATTCGTGCCATTAGAAGACGATGAGTTCAGCATTTCGGATTTTCTTGCGGCGACACAATACTGTCACGTCTTACCCTTGGAAAGAGGATCTTCTTTAAAGATACATTACAAATCTACATAATCCCTGTTGCTTGCTGGTTCTAATCAAATACACAGATACAGAGACACATCTATGTCCCATTCCCTTGGGAGGAAACAAGTGCTCAATAAAATACCTAGATCATGCCTGATCAGTTTAATAGGAGCAGACATATGGGGAAACTGCCAGAAAGGCAGAGAAAACCATGTGCAGAGCATCAACTGTCTGTGGGCCGTAACCCACAGGTTGGGAGGAAATAGAAGCCAGCTGAAGTTAGGACTCGCCTGGTGAATCTGTTTTCTCAGCTCACAGACAAAGTAGGAAGGAGACACACAGATGAATCGAGCTAAAGGGAAGACCTCTGTTTATATGTGAAGCAGAGGAGAAAGGGGAAAAAAATGTTTGTGACTTTAAAGAAAGACCATTAGTCCTAAGTGGTTTGATTTCCTATTTTGCCACTCTGCTCATAGCCTGAAGGTATCCAGGAAAATCATTTTGACAAGTTACCTCAAAGTTAATGAATATCTTTAACTACTCTAAACCATGCTCCTCTTTTAAAACCCACCCTTTAACTGGATTTACACATGGAGCTGCAAGGGACACTGAGATACTGCTTATTCGCTTTCAATTAAATTCTCATGTTGGTTATGGTCACATGCAGGAAATCTTGAGACTTCAGTCGTATCGGAACGGTTGAATCTTAAGAATTGGGTCCAAAAAAAAGCTACAGTCATCATCACTAGACAATTTGCCTCCTTCATCAGTTTGGTTTTCTTTGGTATATATTATCTCTAAACAGAAGGGCTGGAAAACATGATAGTGCTTCGCTCAGCTCTGACTTAACTTGTTAGTTTTTTTTGGAATGATTCAAGTACATCCTCATAACCATGGAACTTTTTGTGATTTGTAGTGACTTCCCTCACGTAGCTAACTTTCCATATACTACATCTATAAAATGTCAGTTTTTTGGATCCATATTGGGGGCTTTTAATTTTCTATGAAATAATACATTGACAATCTTACCAGTTAGTCTATTGAACGAAATGACTCATTTTAAAAATAAAATCGACCACTCCGTATACATTCATCTTATTTTGGGGTATTTTTAGCAGCCGCAAGGAAGAAAAAACACATCAAAAAGTTCTCACTACTAATGAATAGACAACAGTTGTGGTGGTTTTGCCCTTTCTGGCGGTGCATCCTCCAGAATAGAGCCTCTGTGCTTTCTCTTCAGGTACACGTGTACTGTGCTAGCGCCGCTTTGGCCGGTTGCAAACCTCCTTTTTTGCCACGTGATCATCTGAAGCACTCCCATGCTTTTAAGACTTGGGTCTTTGGAAGCATTTACACTAAACCAAGTCCGCATCAACCGCAGCAGGCGTTTTCTGAAACTGTATTTCTTAGTGCAGCCAACCAATGACTGGAGCCGAAAACAGCTGATGTCATGATGCAGCAATTATATAGTGATACGGCAAAAAAAAAAATACAATGAACTGAAGCATTTTTTCTTTAAAATAGTGACACATTTTCAGTCATATCAGAGCTTGATGATAATTTATGGTTGTTCTTTATTCGTTTGACATTATTATTAATTAGGCAACGGGTCAAAATGCATTTCAGCTCAGGGAGAAAAGTGCAGTTGCTAAAACTTCACTTGACAACTCTGACATCATTCTCTCATTCTCTTGGCTCCTTTGCACTCTGCTATCACTCAAACTAAAGAAAAGGCATCCAGCAGGGAGACAATCACTGAGGGAAGTGACTGTGGATGTAGTGTGACCATGTGACTGACTTGTTAGTCCCCAGGCTAAGGAGAGGAGGCCTTTGCATCACGGGACTCGCCTTACTATGCCCCTCCAGACACTAGGCCCGGTCCCTGGGCTCTGAGGACAGACAGGGCTGACGTAAATGTGCTCTCCTCTGTGTTATCACTGCAGCACCCCAGAGGCTACAGGCGCGATTAATGTCTTTGCAGATCCAACTCGCTCGAAAAAATAAAATAATATAACCCACTGAAAAACAGCCTGTCTTCCATATGACACGCTAACGCTTCATTTGCACTCTTTGCTTTTGCTATCACTCAAAGGTTCTATTGTGTTCAAAAATCAAACGCACACAGTTTGGACAGACGTCTTATTCATATTGACATCTGTTCGCCCTTGAGTAAATGTCACTTTGAGCGTGTTTTGCCAAAAAGTCTTAATGGTTGGCATCAAACATTCACCACACCCATTAACACATTTTAACAATGTGTAGAAATAGAAACAGTGTGTCCATTGTGACTCAGAAGTCTTTGCTATGCATCTGGGTATCTTAACACCGGCCTATTAGTTTAGTGCTGGCACAGCCTGTACATAACTCCTTATATAATAACTCAGCAGTGAGCTTGTTAACGTGGATCACACTCCATCTCTCAACCCTGTCCATATACATAGCTGTGTTTGCAAAGGCTGTAGATTGAGATTGAAATTTTCAATTAATAGAAAACCTTTCTTTACACTGAAGAGGAAGCATGTGATACCTGTCAGTCAGAACTAATCAGGAAACAATGCAGACAGTCTGCGCGGGATTAGAAATTAGAAGAGAGGAGGCAGGATGATCAGGTGGGGTCACTGCACTCTCCTGCATTAGCTGAGGTCTGGAGCTCCTGAAACCACAGGCACAGCTCTGCAGGCTCTTAAGGAGCTCAGGAAGCCCAATCAAAATCAAATCATCTCCTCTTTTTCTTCACTCACCCCCTATCTTTTGGTCCTGAGAGAAACAATTACTTCTAGAGTGTGGAGGAAACCTAGGGGTCCTGGGCTCCTCAAGAAGCAGCAGCAGCAGCAGCAGCAGCAGCAGCAACAGCAACAGCAGCAGCAGTCCAAGGCTTTAAAGTACTTTTATTGGATATCAGAGCTGGAGGAGAGTCCAAAGAAAATAGGTCTTATTCATTATTAGAGCCAGCTGTGGCTTTCCACACTGATGACTCATCCATTTTTCTTTCCCCCCTATTCTTTTGCTTTTTTTCACGGTGTGGTAAAGATGGGTGGCGGGGTGAGTCGTGAGGGTTTCTCTGTTAGAGGACTCAGCCAAGTTGACACCGAGCCCATATCCACTGGTTGTTGTTTGTTTGGATTGTGGAGGGTGCCTGCTCACTGCCTTACTCAGACTCACTCGTGCTCTCATTGCGCCACGTGGATTCCCTGCACGTTTTTTTTTTTTTTTTTTTTTTTTTTTTAACATCTCCGCCTTTCTTTCTGCTTTTCCCCCCCAGTGCCGATAATAAAGACAGAACCCAGTGATGAATATGATTCTCTGGGGACTGTGGGCCTGTCCATGCATTCAAAGCCCTACTACAGCCAGCCCAGGCTCACTCCCATCATGCCCGTGGCCGATCCTGATGCCTGTCTGGTTGGTGGCTACCCTCCCTGCCCGCCTCGCCACGCTGCCATGCCATCATCGTCCCCCAGCTCCAGTCCCACCCTGCATGACCTGTCCCCTGTGGCATACAGCAAGTGCCTCCCCAACAGCCCAACCCATGCGGCACCGCCAGGCCCCGTGGTGCCCCCCATTCAGGAGACACCTGGCCACCCTAACCTCACTCATCCGCCGTCGCCAGACCACAACTCTCCCCTAGGGATGCTCCACTCCCAGGGCAGCCCCAACCACCTCAACAGCCCCGGACCCCATGGTTACCACCCTATCTATGCCAACAGCAGCCCCTCATCTTCCCCGGTGTCCCATCCTTCCACTCCTGGAGGGCCTGCAGAGAGCCCGTTTGTTCAGGCGTACAGCCCCGGTCAGGCAGCAGCCGGCTCAGCCCAGGCTGGAGGGAGCTCGCCCAGCCTGCTGCCTGAGGATGCCAGCCCCCCTTCAATGGCCATCACCGTCAAGCAGGAGCCCCAGGAACTGGACCAGATGTACCTAGATGATGGTGAGCAAACAAAGTGTACATACATTATCTATAATAATCTATTTTAAATGAATTCAAATGACGTGCGTTTTGTTTTTCCTCGATGAAAGCCTCTCTTAATGAGCTCACCGCCCGTGCCAGAAATGACTGTTTACGCAGCACATTGCATTTATTTGACACCTTTTGCTTATCTGCATGCCCTCACACATAGCCGCACCCTCCTGCACCCCTCAGTATTTCCTGATGAAACTCTGACAGCAGATTTACGTCACATTTGTTTAATTTTAGACGCAGCAGATTTATTTGCCTTTGGTGTAACGCGTAGCCTGGCTTATGTTGTCCGAGCGGCCGCTTTACTTTTAAACAGCAAATTGCCTTGATGGGATTTTGAAACAATCTGTCAAAACATCAGAGCACCGAGGTCAGCTGGGGTGCAGCAGAACAAAAACAGTGGCACACGCGTAGCGAACCAAACTGTTGACACAACGACTAATGAAGGAAGCAAAACAATGGGAAGGGGTTTCCTGAACCGACCGAGTTTCCCCCCCTCTCCGTATTTCTGGGAGGGATGCTGGGAGGCAGGAGGCAGAGGCTTTGTTTTCCCGTCTTTTCCCCACGGAGTCGACACCATGTGGCTGTCGTCATCAGGGGAGGCTGTGGGGTCACTGGTCTCCCTCTGGCAATGAAACCAGTCACACCCAAGGGACCATATGGTCGAGTTTATTGCCTCCTGTGTCCATCTCACATTATGTCTCTCAGGTCAGTAACCTGTTATCTGTGTTAGCAGAGGCTCCACTTGTTGTTATGATATATATTCGTGGAACTCATCACTGGCATTGTGCCAGTTTGAAATGTTAAAATCCCCCCCGCATCCTAATAGAGGCGGTGGGGGGAGACCCATCCACATTGAACTCAGGAATATCACCCTTCCTGTGGACCTTTTGTTCAGTAAACTGATATTGTGTGTGTCTGTGTGTGTCTGTGTGTGTGCATAAGTACACCTCATACGCACTTCACTCAACAGCTCTGGGAGTAGAGGGGTGATAGGCATGAGGGGACTGAGGGAGTTTTGCTGTGGAACTGTAATTGAGTTGAAATTCGGTTGTCAGCATATCTGTCAGTCTTGATGAGTCCCATTAGTCCTCACCTCATAAACAGAAAATACAGAGACAGGAGGATGTCTGTCTGTTATCGGCTCTATAAACTGAATTCAAACTTTTTCTTTGCTTTTTCCTTTTTTAAGTTTTTTTTTCTTTTTCTCATTTTGCTGAGCTCCTAGCGATGCTGGATTGCCTGGAAATCTAATTTGAAACAGAAGCACTCATTTCAAATCATTTGCCACAGAGGCTTTCATTTCAGTATTAATTGAATGAAGTGAAACAATAGCTTTATTTTGAATTTTGTAATAAGGTCGGCAAGGGGTCAGTTTACACCAACAGTATGAAGTTTTACCAACTGTACACGGCAGTGCTAGTGCGAGTAACGTCGTGTAACCTTGTTTTTCTCCCCCACTACTCCATCCACTGTCACTTTAGCAAGCTCAATCTTCCTCCAACCCGGTGGCCAAATGTATCCAGCCAGTGATTACAGTTGCATTAGGGACGCACAGGAATGCGTATCGATTGGCCGAGGACAGTGAGGCAGCCCCTTGAAAACCTCAATGTGCTGCCGTTTTGCATCACCTAACGTCTGCGCAAGCATCTGTGGTGAGCTCCTGGAGTCCCGGTAAGTGTGCGGTGGTAACAGCATACTGCAAAGGCATCTGCTGCTCCCAGGCCCCGCCCTATCCCAAGCCCCTCAAATGAGCCCTGAGCTAAAATAAATAAGATCGGAAGGCAGCTCAAAGGGCGTCCCGCTCCCCGTCCGCACGCATTACCGCCGTGCGTTAGCGAGCTCAGCGCTCCATTAGAGAAGGAAGACAAGCCGATGACCTCACCACAGCAGCGGTGATTTAACGCCAGCCGTGTGTAGAGTAGCGTTCCTCCCCAGCAATTGGGGGCCGGTGATTTGGAGTCTGCGGGAGCACACTTGATCTTCCCCAAGAGTGGTTCACCTCCCACGCTCGAACGCTGAGGCCTCCGGCTCTCATCAGCCAGAGGAAATGTGTCTCTGTGGCCAGGCCCAGATTTTACACAGCCCCTGAGAAATCACTCAACTTATCAACGGTGAGCTACTGTACCACGAGGAACTGGGTTAGTATGGAGGGAGCCTCAGATGCGAACCCCCCTGACTGCCATACACAGTCTCCATTGTACACTGCTAAACTCTTCCCTATGCTGCGATACAAACTTACTAACTACAGCGCGGGGCATGAGGTGATGATTCTGGAGTCTGAAATGAGAGTTTTCTGGGAAGAATCCAGTTTGGCAGCAGGATAACCGTCGAAGCGCCCATTTTCGCTCAGTGGCATGTTGGCGCTTATCTATTACACCTGGAAGTAAGGCCACAGGTCAGCACGGGTTAGTGGAATGGAGGGTTATGAAACACACCCGCTGCTGGAAGACTAAGCCTTGTTGCATTGTTGACTCACTGTCGTAAACAACTCATGGTGGGGCTCACATAAAACTGAAGTTTTCAGACATTTCGTTCTTACTCACAGCCCACTATCTGTGTTTTACAAGGCGCACCACGGTCAGAAAAATGGCAGTCAAATGACATCAGTGTAGGCAACAATAGAATTTATGATAAACTCGGTCAGCACCATTTAGTTAGCACTACTAATTAAGTCTAAAAAAAGTCAAGCTGAAATGACGACATGTTTTGTCATATGTCTGAAGCAGCAGACATCATTACCCCCCTCTTGCCTCAAATAATCACAGACACACGTGTCCATCTACATACACACTTTTAATCTTAGACTTGGAAAACGCAGCCCATGCAACGCATTCTGAACCCTTCACTTGGAGTTTTAATCCTTTATAGGTATTTTGTAGTGGGTGCATGTGTGTTTTTAGAGCAGAAGGCGTTTGGTCCGGTGAGGCTGCTGCTGCTGTGTGTCCTGTCTCATTAGTCGCTGCTGTGATGGGTGATATCATGAAATGCAGCTGAATGCAGCACACAGCAAAGGAACTAGTGCTAATCAGAGAGCCAGATTTCTACCAGCTGCCTCTCTGGGAAACAGAGGGCCCTTATTCCCTTAAAATAAGAAAAACACAGAGTGCAACGCAGACTTTGCCCATTTCTGACATTTGACATATGCGCTCTGATTGCCTCGTGTTGCAGCGCAGTTTGCCTTGTGATTGTTTCCTCCTTCGATTCGAGGGTGGTGCATTTGAAACTTGTTTTCTCAAACTGAAAACAGAGTTGTTGTCGAATCTCCTTCCCCCCCTGCAACACATACACACACACACACACACACACGCACACACCTACACACACACATACACACACAAAAGGCATTCTAACCTTCCTGAGGATCTCCGTCCACCACTGATGCTTCTGAAGGCAACTCGAGGCATTCCTCATGGAAACTTTTACACATCCTGGCAAGTTGCCCAGACCCCAGGACTCCGCAAAAACCCTAATGATGATTGAGAGCGCGTCCGCACCACGCTGAAAACATGCTGAGTCGCTAACATTGGAGTGTGCCGCAAGGCTGGATTGGAGGGGGGGGGTGGGCAGAAGACCGAGAGGATTTAAGGGGGGGAGGGTGTTCATTAAAGCAGAGGTTGAAGTGTCTAATGGGACTCACTAAAGCAGAGCTGCTCCCGTATGTTTAGACAGTATGTATGTATGTGTGTGCCTGTTTGTCTCTATTAGCGAGTAGCTTCAGCGAGACCTTAGAAGTACCGTAAGTGACAGCGTGTGCTTTCACAACACTCCACCTCTGACCCTCTGGCCTTTTGGGAGCAGGTCAAGGCCCAGCTAATAGTGTAGAGAAAGAAAGGCTGTCTCGTGGTTAAGTGCAATGCCTAGAACACAGTCTCCTTTCTACACGTAGCGATATCGACGGGTACAAGAAAAAGCGTGATGGCTTTTTTATTATTTATGACTGCAAAGAGGATGTGGATATTTTACTATTGTTGTTATTGCTGCCCTCTCTTATTAGGAATCCGTTTTCCTGGCAGCCCTCGACATGGTGAGGTATAAGTAAAAGTTTGAACTTGCTGGGGAAGTTTTATAGTCACGGGAAAAATTAATAGGTGGGTGCACTCTCGGATTGGCCTTTGAGAGTCATTGACCGCCTAAGCTATGGATCAACAACTACACTGTCGGGATGAGCAATAGATTAGATCCAATTTCTTCTCATTAGGATTAAAAACCATTACTTTTACTGTTTGAATTGAGCAGCTTTGTCTCTTATTACCCATTATCAGATCCTCACCAAGCCAAGGAGTGTGCTCTGTGGACATCTGCACAGATCTGCTTATGGTGGTAGAAGTTGTGTTAATGAATCAATCAGTTTATAACAGTGAAAAATCTTTTCTTAATCTTACCCATTTGTTAAGCACAGTCATACAGAGCTAGAAAAGAAGATCACAGTACATTGGTGGTGAAAATGAAAGAAAAACTTTATACCCTGCAGCAGTTGTGAAGTAACTCTCATAAAGTAGATAACAGTGTGGTTAAACACATTGCTAGTTTGTAATATAAAGTATGGAAGTTACAATCAAAGTGCATTAATGGAAGCCAGAGATTACCATGGCGTCTTCGCAGTACAAGACGAATACCTTCGCAGTAGAGTGGAAGTCCTCTGGATTACCTTTGCACCCTCTGTTTCCTTTTACATCTCTTTTATCTCAGTCCCATTGGCTGAACATGAGAGCCTTTAGATTCCTGGTTGTGATCAGATTTTTTTTTTTATAACATATTATGAAACCCACTCAACTATAGACACTATTGTCCAAGATTGCTTGCAGTTTAGCAGATAATTAGATCTAAGTGGTTACATATGATTGTGGCAATGGGGTCACCATATATGCGCTTTGATTTTTAAGTCTTTGCAAAGCCATTGGAAATATTATTAGTTTTGATAAGCGCAGCGAGATGAATCCGTAAGAATTCAGTCCATTTATTACCGC